ATAAAAATGGTAAAAACTCTATTAAGCAGTAAACCTGTTATTTCCTTGCTTCGGAAAAAAATGTAAAAAAATATCAAAAAGCACAACGAAAATATGCGTGTCGTTATATGCATGCGTTTTGTCTGTGCGTCCTTAAATTAATTTGGCTGTTGACTATTCCACGCACAATGAAGGAAATGGCGCTTGTCCTTAGTGTGCAATATGAAATTTAAAGATGCATTGGTTCAATCTACAGAGATTTAGACATTTGCGAAGAAAAGTCGGGTCTCGAAAAATACTTTGTTTCATATTTGCAGAGCTTCCACTCAAATGAAAGTGTATGGTGAAGATATTCTAAGGCCGATACCACCAGAAGACCACAACGGATCCCTCTTAACCAGTGTCGATTGGCTTTACTGGAATATTCTTTTAAATGCCCTTTTTGAGGCAATCCCCTACGATTCCGGTAAAAATGTGATGAACTTTCGTCCGTCGTACGATGGACATCATCAGAACTAAATAAAATCCTTACATTCATATTCAAGCTAACGAATCAAGAAATCTCGCCGGCTCATCCATAAATGCTATATATATATATATAAGGCTTATCAGCCTTTAAATTCTAAAGGGAATTACCAAAATGATCATATAATAAAGATATAATTTTTAAAATTTTGATTGAGCCCTCTTCTAAAGCAAGCATCGATATGTTATTAGGTCTGCTAGTCTTGCCAATGGGATAAAAATGGTTGAATCAAAATGCAAATAAGAAAAATTCCATAATGGAATTATAAGAAATTTCTCATTACTAAAGGATAAATATTGGTCAACTTAAAGTGGTTTTAAATAGAAGTTAAATTTTTTTTTAATTCATTTTTTGAAGGAACTTAGAGTTGCCAAGTAAAGAGTATTTGCCATGGCATCAAAAAATCGAACAAAAGAATGCGTGGGGGCGAATACCAAAACGGTGGCCTTTTGTGTGGTTGCAATCTCCTTCCGTTGTATAGAAGTTTATTGACCTTGTTTTCGCAACTTGGTGATATTGGTAGGACCTAGAGGAACGCACCCAGTCCAGAGTCCATTGTATGCATGATAATTTCCAGTCGGATCGTGGAAGTGGTACACCCCATGACGTCTCGCCGGCATCGCCAGTGGGTCTTGCAACTCTTAGCACAACACTACAACTACAAATGAAGTCGACCATTTGCCTGCTAAACAATCGTGGTATCTTCTTCCCCCTTGGGCTAATCCCCAATCGTATCACGGCTTCACTATCAAAATTTTTACTTGTTTATTTAAATATGGAATGGTGTGCCCTTTTGAGCAGCGTTCGCAGGAGCTTTCCATACTCCACGCTGGATTTCGCATCCCCTCACCCCCCTTCACCCTTGCGCAGGGAATGTCTATCAGAGTCTTCCTCTTGTCTCGTAAGCTCCGCCTGCTATCTCCCTGGTTCAAGTATTTCACTCGACCCATGCCACCCCATCTGTGCTACTAGAGCCGTTATTTCCCACAATTTGCGTATGAGATACTAACTTGAGGCCAAAGCACCTGAGTAATTCCAATGGTCAAGCCTTTGCGGCATGGTCAACGTTTATAGTAAAAGAGGCCTACTGTCAGGCCACTAGCTCTAGTCTCCACCGTGTCTATCCTGTTTCTTTCTCTAATACCAAGTATATGTCTTCCTATGCCCTAGTCTCTGGTGTGCCAAGGCAAAAATGTTGTGGTTAGACATAGAACCTAATCAAAGCAAGCTGTACCACAACATTTGCGAGCTGGCCCACAATAGACTATGGTATAGAAAAGCATAGCCTTGGTAGATAGAAACAGGATAGACGCGGAGGAGACTAGAGCTAGTCGGCTGACAGTAGGCCTGTTTTATCATAGGCGTGGTTCATCAAGCAAAGGCTTGACCATGAGAATTCCGCAGGGTTTTAGCCTCAAGTTAGTCTCGAAGAGGCAGATTGTGAGAAATAACGCCTCGAGTATCACAGATGGGGTGGCAGGGTTCGAGTGAAATACTTGAACCAGGGGAATAGGAGACGGATCTTACGGGGCAAGGAGACCCTGATGAGACCTAGGGAAGGAGGAAGGCATAACAATATGGCAGACTCTATTCAACATTCTAAGCATGAGGGAGAAGGGGGTAAGAGGAATGAGAAGGCCGGCGTGGAGTGTGGAGTTCTTAAGAAAGCCGCTCAAAAGGACACATCATACCACATTTAGATGAGCAACTAAAAATTTTGATATTAAGGGCGTGATATGAGGATATAGGGTTGGTTATTGGCCCAAGGCGGAAGGATAGATACCATGGTTGTTTAGCAGACAATTAGTCAAAGAATCGGTCTCACCTGTCTCTTTAACGAGTTATAGTGTGGTGCTAAGAGTGGGAAGCTCATTGACGATGCCGGCGAAACGACTCAGAATGTACCACGCCATGGATGCTATAGACTCCGGAGTAGATGCGCTCCTCTAAGTCTTCCTACCAATTTGACGAAGTTGCAAAAGCAAAATCAAACAAATTCTATAAAAGAATCTGTAGTTGACAGTTATTTACAAAAACGATGGCTCATATTTACAAAGTAAAAGCCCTGTTGGCCAGATCCAGAGATACCCCAGCTTAGTCTAGCTAGAGGCAGATACGTTCATAAAGCATTTTTGTGCTCAAATGCAGCAGATTATAGGACAGCATTCAAATAAGTCTGTAGGTACAATATTCGGGTACGCCGATAACGCATGTAAGAACTTTCATAAAAATTTTTTTCATTTTAGAGTACAATCCATAGAGCACTCCACTATTATATTCTGCAAAAGAACTCTTTCACAAGAAATAGACTCAGGATTACTTTTTGGAGCAAGATTCACTTAGTTATTTAATTTTATGGTTGTTGCTTAGAATAAGATAGTCAAATCCATTTCTTGATAACAGCATTAATTAATTATTAAACGAAATACGCTCTATATATTCCAAAAAGTAAATATCTGGTAGGCAAATTGATAGGAAAATAGTCGATAGGGCTGAGATTCATTAGTTAGAAACCTTGGTATTGAAGAGTGGAAATAGAAACAGTGTTAATCTATGCAAATTATATAGTGAATAAAACTATATAATAATAGTCAATCTATTAAAAAAGTTAAAGATGAATATTGTGCCAAGCTGAAATATTGAAATAAGCCAAGCATCAGAGAGCATAATTTCACAGTTTGCGAACGTCAAATGTGTTCGATGAGGAATCAATAAGCTAAAACTCAAACAAGAAGTGAGCAACTTTCAAGAGCCAAAAGACCTTGCAAGTACACGCGTTATGGAGCTGAGTGTGAGAGATAGCCTGAAACCAAAGGTAACATCGTTGACAGATACCACATGATCGGATTTAAGATATATCCAGGAACAAAGGCTTAACACATGCGTACGCACATGCGTACGTGATGAGCGACAACAAGAGCCAGTATAACTAGTTTTCGTAAGAATGGCAAGCCAAGCCCTAGCGCAGAAGGCTTAGAAGACGACCTATAGTTTCTTGAATAAAAGCCGATCAGTGCAAAAATTTTCACTCTCTCGTACTTCAAGATAAAAAAAGCAGTGTCGTCAGTTGAGATCCTTTGATAGGTTCAATTGTGATTAG